TAACGAAGCGGCTTATCACGTGGAAATGTATACCAGCCAAACACTCTAATGCATCCATGATAGAGGCTTTTGGGTTAGATAGCGTAAATATATCAATTTGTCATACTCTTTGTTTTTTTCGGTAAAGTCACGTAGGTAGAAAAATAATAGATCACGACGTTTCGATCGCAACACAAGCAACCGTCATCAGGTGGGACAACCACATAAATTTGTCGTTAAAACCCGCCACCACCCGACACAGCCAACTAGTAAGGTGTTGTCACGTAAACAGAACGTGGCCAATTCGTCACTAGTACAGCACACCGGTGTGTTGGAGAGCCAAGCTACAACATTTACAACCTGAGCACGACGTTTCGCCAGTAATTACAACTAACTTCACCAGGCGACAGTCAGATTTGTAGAGAAGTCTTACTGTTTCGTTCCTTATATAGAGGCGTAGATGTGTTGACCACGATTCTGCGCTCTTGCACGATGCGGGGGGGGGGGGGGGATTACTGAGGCAACGTACATTACGCACATGCGCATTATGCGAGCCCTTTGAACTTATCCTTCCTGTCTATTGTGTTTATTCAAATATCCCTACCAACGGCATGAGGCCCCGGGCTGCAGCCACTCGTGGTGAGGCCGGGTTTCTTGGGCGCTGTGAGCCGCACGGTCTCGCCGTGATGCGCAAACACATTTTTCTGGAGAGAATTCCGCGACCATCGAATACGCAACCAGTGGGTTTTCACTTCGATTGAACCGGCCCGCTTCCGATTGTACGATAATCACGTGGGCACAAAACATAAAAAGGCTTCCCCCTAATAACGAACGTGGTTTTATTTTCATCCCGGAGTCGCTGCGATTGACAAGTGATGACCTCATCCCCCTCACCGCCCGATTTTCCCGCACCTCAAATGAGCACGGTTGGGTACGTACGGTGCGAAAGAAGTTCAACATACAGACAATCATAGGGACGTTTTCCGCTTTACGATTTTTTACGATGCCATACGATTTCCAATGTCAACGGTACGATGCAAATCGCGACATGAATTCCTCTAAATATTGCAAACGGGTTTAGTATTTTTTATCGTCCTATGTTTTGTACTTTGCTGTGCTTCAAATGCGAATTAAATATTGCGGAACAAAGTATCCGATCTTTCGAGCTGGGAGCTTCTGCAGCAACTGAATGGCAACGGACGCTCGAAGCATGTGGAGCGAAACGTCGGACATCATGCCAAACATCGCGCGGCTCGACCCGACATCACGGCCGAGAGGGAAAAAGCGCAGCCGCGAAAACCCGCGCGCTCAAAATCTCGAACTATCCTGCCCGCTGTCTTTATGCCATTTCCTTTGGTTTCATTTCGCCGGCCTTGCTGCAACTCGCGCCTCTCTTGAAAAGGAGGCCAACTTTCATCAAACGACTGAATGACGTCGCATCAGCTTACCATTTGATTAGCGCCGACTCGGAGCACGTGCGTGCGCGCGTGCACCTGTGCTTTTGTTTGGCGAGCTCGCGTGAGTGGTTATGCCGCCAGCGCGTGTTTATGGGTGCCTAATTGCGCGAGCGTGTGCGTGCGCGCGCGCGCAATCAGCGAAATATTTCGAGGAGAGAGGGAGGCGGACGGTATACCACGGCTTGCCAAGCGTTGTCCCACGGCCTAGAACCGACGATGGCGCAGCGCCACATGGCTCGTCGGGCAAAACGCTCGTCGCAACGAGAGAGCACGGCGCTGCGCTCCGGCGTTTACCAGCGATCGAAACGTCCCTCTCGCTCCTCCTCCGGCGGCAACGGCCTCCCGCGTTCCGCTCGCGGCCGCGCCCGGCGTCGCATCGCGCGCGCGGAGTCGTGACCGAAGCTGTCCCGGTAAAAAGGTAAAGGCGCAGCTCCTGCAATTTCTCGTTCACGCCACTGCTGCCAGAAGGAGCTCCACCGCTGCGATCTCTACGAGGATATTTGGTCTTCCCTTCAAGCGTTGACCGGACGCGTTGGCAGGTGTAAGCCGACCCACACTCTACCCCACCTGCCGATCGAATTTCCGATAGGCTAACTGCGGTGTACCCATTGTTGACTGCTTGGTGGACAGAGGCAGGAGGAGTTTAGCGACATCATTTGAGCTGCCACGCCAGGAGATGGAACCGAATCGGAGACCTCTGGATTGCAAGTCCGGTCGGTGGGCTGATCGTTACACCCGGCGGCGCCACCCTCCTCTTTTGGGCCTCACCTAAGTCAACTCAGCCGAACACGAGTAACTGGTTCCACCTGTCAAAAGGTGGCTGGGTGTCGTTCTGACCACACGGCATAGATTAGCAGCAGCTGGATGCTTAGTCCAATCGTCATCTCGCAGGTCCCATAGCTGGAACCTGTCGTCTCATGTATTCTCACGTAGCCGGTTCCATCCTGTCTCACAGTTGCCTCTATTCAAACGGCCCCTATGGCAGGGGTGAGTCCATCACTGTTGACTTCCCCACAAACCCATTGTATTGACCCTGATGGGGGGGGGGGGATGCATGGCAAGCCAATCCACAGCCAGAATTTCAACTCATAACCTTTCCGATCGCGAGAGCCGCTCGCTCCGAACTCGGGTCAGGGATTTCACGGCGCAGTTCGCAAACCACCGCGCCTCCGCTCCCCCCGCGTATTGTTCTTACCACCGCAGTGACCGACGCAGCGGAGCAATTGGGAGGAAGAGTGGCCCGGTGGGATAGTCGCGTTCCGCTTGCGGGGCGAACGTCGAGAGATAATTAAAGTGCACGGAAAGGAAACGGTGTGCAGTGTGCCGGGGCTGTTGCTGGCTCACTCGCTCGCTCACGGGGCCCGCTTGAGAGCTGCCCTGTGATTTGTCGCCAGTGGCCGCCGTGTGGACGGTGCCCTCTCGGCACTCTCCGCTGAACACGCGATCCGGGCTCCCCCGCGCGCGCGCGCTTGGCTCTTGCACGCCGACTGCCTCGTCATAGCGGGTGGCGAGATGTCAACTCCCTCGCCCGGTATACACGGGGTCGTGGGTTCGATCCCGACCATGACGCCAGTATATTTGGAGTTTGCGTGTCTCTCTCTCTATCCTTGGTCGCGGGGGGTCCTCCACCTTTTCCCTCCACATTTAGAATCGCCATCACACGTTTAGAGTATTTGGATGTTATACATTTCCACGTGATAAGCCACTTCGTTGAGCTGTCATTTGTCGCGAGGTCGCTTCTGAAAAAAGTTATACAACTCAGTGGACCTTACCTGGTAAAAGAAAAAGTTTTATTTAGTTTTCGATTTAAAGCTTTCGTGACTGCAGGGATCCATCTTCTTGGTTCTTTCGGTAAAGTCACGTAGAAGGGAAATAATAAAATAGTAAAAATAAAACAATAAAATAAAATTCTCACGACGTTTCGGCCACAACACAAGTAGCCCTCCTCAGGTGAATAAACAGAACTGTCTTAGCAGTGTTCATTGGAGCGCTGTCTTTCCGACAGTTCTGTTTCTTCACCTGAGGAGGGCTACTTGTGTTGTGGCCGAAACGTCGTGAGAATTTTATTTTATGATGTTTTATTTTTTATTATTGTATTATTTCCCTTTTACGTGACTTTACCGAAATAACCAATACGATTTTATTTAGTTTTTAAAAGTTTAGTTTAAAAAGTTTAGTGTGCGTGTGTGTAGTGGTGCACGGCGGTTGTGTTGTCGTGTGTGTGTGTATTTGATTCCTACTCACGACCAACACCAGTGACGATTATCAGAACCGGTCCTGGGCCTCCCCTCGGTCGACTCAGTCTCAAATTGAGTACCTGGTGCGGTGTGTAGTAAACATCGCCACTGGGGAGACATTCATTTTTATTTTTACCACCAATCCTGACAATCCATGAAAATCGCGGTTCCGCACCTCGCCCGCCCCCCTCCCCCGCGTTTCACAAGCGCGCGTCTCTCTGCGGCGAGCTTATCTGTGCAAAATTGAGCAGTGACACGTGCGCGGAATTGGTTGTTCGACCTTCGACCTTGGAAAAAATGCTGTCCTGTGTGAGGAACCGTGGAGTCGGCCAACTACGACATAAAATACAAATTAGCCGCCTGTGTCCACGGCCACTGCAATTTGAACTCATTCGGTGACAGTCACTCAATTTGGAATCAAAGCGTGCGCGTGTGTATGCGTGTGGAGTCAAAAGCGTGTGTGTACATGTGGAGGTAAAAGCCTGTGTGAGTGTGTGGAGTCAAAACGTGTGTGTGTGTGCGTGTGGAGTCAAAAGCGTGTGTTCACATGTGGAGGTAAAAGCGTGTGCGTGTGAAGTCAAAGGCATGTGTGTGTGCATGTGGAGTCAAATGCGTGTGTGTGTGCGTGTGGAGTCAAAGGCATGTGTGTGTGCGTGTGGAGTCAAAGGCGTGTGTGTGTGTATGTGGAGTCAAATGCGTGTGTGTGTGTGCGTGTGGAGTCAAAGGCGTGTATGTGTGCGTGTGGAGTCAAAGGCGTGTGTGTGTGCGTGTGGAGTCAAAGGCGTGTGTGTGTGCGTGTGGAGTCAAATGCGTGTGTGTGTGTGTGCGTGTGGAGTCAAATGCGTGTGTGTGTGCGTGTGGAGTCAAAGGCGTGTGTGTGCGTGTGGAGTCAAAGGCGTGTGTGTGTGCGTGTGGAGTCAAAGGCGTGTGTTTGTGCATGTGGAGGTAAAGGCGTGTGTGTGTGTGGAGTCAAAAGCGTGTATGCGTGTGGAGTCAAAGGCGTGTGTGTGTATGCGTGTGGAGTCAAAGGCGTGTGTGTGTGTGGAGCCCCAGTGACCCGCATCCACACTAGCCATGCGCAGCGTCAGTGGGCTAGTCACATAGCAGCCTGTCCTGAAAGTCCTACTCTTTAAAAGCTGACTCAGCCTCAACAGAGTAGCCGGTGCAACGTCGAGACATCCCCACTCGGACAAAAAAAGGTGGCCCAGCTCGCCTCGTTGTGCCACAGTTGCGGTCTTAAGTCGGTGCTCGCAAACAGCACTCGCCCCAAAACGTCTGTTAAGGCTACACGGGGGATCTTTGTCTTTGTCGTTGTGTGCCTGTGCAGGTTCGTGATGGTGTTCGCCTGCTTGGTGCTCTCCGTGTTCTCCACCATCCCCGACTTTCAGATCCTGGCCAACCAGGTGCTGCTCATCCTGGTAACGTGAGAGAGATACAGAGACGCTGAGCTGCTGCAGCGAGGGAGAGAGAGCGCGAGTGACCGCGAGAGAGAGAGATACGGAGAGAAACAGGGAGAGGCTTTCACCTTGAAAACCCATTCCATTGCTCACAGACGCATCACGGATCCATATTGTTACTGTGCAAATATTATATTCTTGGTTCTTTCGGTAAAGTCACGTAGAAGTGAAACAATAAAATAATAAAAATATGAAACAGCAATAATTTTTTTAAATTATTATTGTATTGTTTCCCTTCTACGTGACTTTACCGAAAGAACCAAGAATACGAATCCCTGCAGTCACGAAAACATTAAATCAAATTCGTGCAAATATTGTTTAGTTAAAAAATGTACGAAACATACGAGAGAGATAGAGCGATAGTGACAGAGCAAGAGGGCGAGAGAGAGAGAGATGCAGGAAGTAGAGATAGCTAATAGAGAGCGAGAGAGAGTCGTACAAAGAAAGGAGAGATGGAGGGAGAAAGAGAGAGCGCGTTAGCTATTAGCTGCAAATCTCAGAAACTGAATTATTGACGTGAAGATGTCTCTTGATTATTTGTGGGTGGATCATCTCGAAAGCAGATTCAGCATGCTCTGGTCTTCTCCGTATGGCTGGAGAAGCAGTCATAGTTTGACGTTGAGGTTCGCAATCCATTCAGCGGCTTCAGCGTATGGTGTTCCCCACTCGTTGACGCTGCCACTTTTCCCCACTGCTCCCACTCGAGACTCGTGAGAGAAGCACGAAATAGTGACGACACAGTCTGCACCGTCACCCCTCCCTCCACCCTCCCACCCCGGTCTACGGAGCTTAACGGTGGATGACGCGTTTCGTGTCGCCTAACTTTTACAATGTTCACTATTGTCCATTGATTTCGATTCACATGGGCCACACCCCTCCACTAGCCCAGGCAAATCGAGAGATGGCCGTAGTTCTGCGAGATGATTTCGGGGAGAGGGGTCATAATGGCTATGACAGTCTCTTTGAGTCAGCATTTGCAGACATGGTGGGTTCTAATCCAAGACTGCGGCCACCCCACGAATAGGTCAAGGTCCAGAGGGGAGTGATGCGTACAGTTGCCCAGCCGCCAGTGACTCAAGTGATGTGATCGTGGCCAAGGGCGATTATGCCGCCCCGCGCCTCCTCGTCAGCGCCTTCTCCCCTCCGCCAGATTCCACCGCTTGCTGCCGAGACGCGCAGCCACCTCCGAGACTCTGACCCCCCCCCCCCCACAGCCTCCCGCCAGTATCCGCTCTTAGGCCTCCCCCTCGTCTGCGCGACCACCCCCCCCCTCCCCCCATGCACAAAGAGAGATCCGGCTTTTTGAAGTTGACTGCAGCCATATTCAGATGGAAGTTACAGAGCCACCGACGGCTCACGCGATCCTGTGACCCCTCGGCCCGTGACAGATGACGCCAACGGAAGGAGATCTTCAAAAAGCCCCTTTGACCCAACACGAGAGCCTGCTGTGTTTTTGTAATGTGTGACTGGATGTGTAGCATATGTGTGTACAGCATGTGACTGCGTGTCTGCATAATGCATGATTGTGTGTGTGTGTATATATATAATGTGGGAAGCGGTCGTGTAGCGGTTAGCGTGCTGCGCTAGGAACCCAGTGACCCGAGTTCAAATCTCGCTCATGGCTAACACCAATAATGATTATCTGAACTGGTCCTGGGCCTCGCCTAGGTCGATTCAGCCTCAAATGACTATTTGGTGCGGTGTGTGAAATGATCGCCATTAGGGAGACAAAGGCGGCCGAGCGTGGTGTTGGCCACCTACGCCCTCGTGTGCTGTTCCGGTCTTCATTTGTGCTCGCTAACAGCACTTGCCGCAACAGTCTGTTAAGGCTATATGGGTGGTCTTTGTCTTTATATAGCGTGTCTGTGCGTGCATAGCATTGGCCAATGTACGTATTCTTTTTCATCATCGATATCGCCGTCCACTGGTAATTATCTATTGTTCAATCGCTGCTCTAAGAGGGATTGTGGCTGACGTTGTTGAGAAGCCACCCCTCACCTACCCCTACCTTCCTCACCGACCTCGACCACTGCTGCCCCCCTCCCTTGCCTCCACAACCCCCACAATCACCTAAAATAGTCCAACACCGTGCCTTTGGGGCCGACCATAAATTACGTCACGCACCGGGGGGGGGGGGGGGGGGTCAGATATTTGTGAGAAACGTGACGTCACATCAAAATGCGCAACTTTAAATAAATATAGACAACACGTTCTACTTAATTAAATATACTTTTTAATGTTTTCTCCTACAACATCAGAGTGCATCGCCACATTAAATACGCACTACAATGACAATAGTTTAAAGCGATTTGAAGCATGTTTTATTTTCAAAATGGAAATATGTTTTTTTGGGGGGGGGGGGTTGAGCTTTGTGACGTCATATTTGAGGGGGGGTCTGATTTTTTGTGACACCGTGTAACGAGGGGGGGGGGTCAAAAATCGTCCAAAATCGCGTGACGTCATTTATGGACGGCCCCTTGGGGAAGGAGCAGCAGCCTGCAAGAAATAGGTGGGGCCTAAAAAAGTGGTGGGGGGGGGGGTAAAATGGAAAGGTGCAAAGTCAAAACAGGAAGGAGTGGGGATCTGAACAGACAGGAATGGGTGGGGGCCTAAACAGGAATGGGTGGGGGCCTAAACAGGAAGGGGTGGGGGCCTGAACAGGAAGGAGTGGGGGCCTGAACAGGAAGGGGTGGGGGCCTAAACAGGAAGGGGTGGGGGCCTGAACAGGAAGGGGTGGGGGCCTAAACAGGAAGGGGTGGGGGCCTAAACAGGAAGGAGTGTGGGCCTAAACAGGAAGGAGTGGGGGCCTAAACAGGAAGGGGTGGGGGCCTGAACAGGAAGGGGTGGGGGCCTAAAAAGGAAGGAGTGGGGGCCTAAACAGGAAGGGGTGGGGGCCTAAACAGGAAGGGGTGGGGGCCTAAACAGGAATGGGTGGGGGCCTAAACAGGAAGGAGTGGGGGCCTAAACAGGAAGGGGTGGGGGCCTGAACAGGAAGGGGTGGGGGCCTAAACAGGAAGGAGTGGGGGCCTAAACAGGAAGGGGTGGGGGCCTGAACAGGAAGGGGTGGGGCTTAAGGAGTATGGGGGCGAAGCACACAGAGGAAAGAGGTGCAGCCTAAAGAGGAAAGGCCGGGGCCTACAGAGGAAGGGCAGGGCTTACAGAAGTATAACTTAATTAAATCAAGGTAACAAAAGTTTAAGATGTGGCTACATGCCGGCTAGTTAATGACTATTGTGATTTCGGCCATGGGCACAGAACGTGGTGCCGAGCGAGAGGTTTGAGGTGGGCTCTGTGTGCCCCTCCCCCCGTAAGTGAATCCTCTTCATCCTCTATGGGACACAAGGCCACGATGAGCTCCCTCCACTTCTTCCTGTCCTTGGCAACATGTTGAGCCTCGCCCAAAGCGAGGTTGATCGCTGCCACCGGCTCGTCCTTCACGGTCTTGCACCAGGTGGTCTCGGGTACTCCCAGGTTTCGTCTTGCCCGGTGGTGTCCACCTTAGGGCAATTTTTTGTAAAAGGTCCTGGTCCATTCTGAGTACATGTCCGAGCCATCTGAGTCGCCATCTCTTGATGTCTTATGTGATATTCGGACAACCAGTCTTCTTGCACAGTTCAGTGTTGTGGATTTTGTTTGGCCAAAATCACCTAATTTCCACCGGCCTGCTACCTCACCTGGAGCAGGTGCAGAGAAAGAGAGAAATGGCCATCCTCACTCGAGAGTTTGGACAAGTTGTTTAGAACGATAGGTAGAGTCGAGCAGAGGTGTGACACTTCATGTACACCTCTATTTGTCTTTATCCGCTCCAGTAGCTTCGAAATGTATGTCAGCCTTTAGGAAATGCTGATAATGAATAAACAAATATGTAGCTTGAATGATACATTTTGCCTGCATGGCTCCCCAGTGTCGGGTTTTGGCTTTGCTGATGTGGTCTGGAAGTCACCGTGACCACGAGGCATTTGGGAGCCACTGCGCATAGTTTTATATCTCGTCGGATTTGTGGCCACCCTCAGCCTGCATGCGCCCGAGTGCCACGGTGGCGAGATGTTAACTCCCTCGCCTGGTCTACAGGAGGTCGTGGGTTCAATTCCCACCCTAACACCTTTATATTTGGATTTTGCATGTCTCTGGTTTTTCCCTCCACATTTAGAATCAACATTTAGAATATTTGGCTGGTATAAATTTCCACATAAGCCACTTCGTTGAGCTATAATTTGTGCCCTTACCTGCTAAAATAAAAAATAATTTAGTATTTGTTTATTTAACCTGTCCGGCCTTAATAGGTGCTCGCCAACAGTCTATTAATCTCTATACCTGGGGGGGGGGGGGTGTTTGTCTTTGTACAGCGCATGTGCTAATGTGTAAAGATGAGCAAAGCATGTGTGTGGATATTGTGTGCTTATGCAATGTAAGAAAGTGCATCGTGTGTGTGTACACATTAGTGTTCGCCACACTACCATCTCTCTAACAGTACTCGCATCCTCAGACGTAAAGAGCCTTTATTTAAGGTGGTCCCCATCACGTAATACAATTCATTATGACTTCATTTGTGGTAGCTAACGTCACCATATCTGAAGGCGCTGCACGTAAATTTATGGGATATTTATTAAAGAGAGAGCAAGAGACAGAGAGCAAGGACAGGCAGAGGGAAAACGAGTATGGATCAATGACATTCCCGAGTCACCGAGTGTGGAGTCCTCGATGCCGAGTGTGGAGTTGTTGTTGCCGAGTGAGGAGTTGTTGTTGCCGAGTGTGGAGTCGTCATTGCCGAGTGTGGAGTTGTTGTTGTCAAGTGTGGAGTCCTCGATGCCGAGTGTGGAGTTGTTGTTGCCGAGTGTGGAGTTGTTGTTGTCAAGTGTGGAGTCCTCGTTGCCGAGTGTGGAGTTGCTGTTGCCGAGTGAGGAGTCCTCGTTGCCGAGAGTGGAGTCGTCCTGTTTTTGGCAACAATGCTTTGGAGTTAGAAGCGATCCAAGCTGAGAGCGCGCCAGGGCCGGGTGTGACGGTGGATAGCGAGGCGGGGTTCTCAGACGCAGTGCCGCTTATATGGAAACAGCAGGAGCACGAGTTCAGTGGTTAGTGTTGTGCGCTACAAAGCTGGGCGACCCGAGTCCGCTTCCCAGCCAACTCGAACGTCGGTGACCAATATACTCGAACCGGGTCTTGGGCCTTCCCTGGTGTGTGGTGGATAAACATCAGCGCCGGGGAGACAAAGACGACCGGGCGAGGTGCTGGCTCCACCACATCGAGCGCAGCGTCTGCCATTCATAGGCGCTCGCCAGGAGCCCTTGCCCCGACAGCCTATGTAGGCAACACGGGGGATGTTTGTCTTCGTGTCTCCGCAGGAGGGCATCATGATGGTTCTGTTCGGCCTCGAGTATTTCGTGAGGATCTGGGCGGCCGGGTGCTGCTGCCGCTACCGTGGCTGGCAGGGGCGCCTCCGCTTCGCCCGCAAGCCCTTCTGCATCATCGGTGAGGAACCCGCCCCGTCCGTGTTCACATAGCTGTGTGTGTGTCCTCATGGCTGGTTCTAGACACAGATAGCTGTGTGTGTGTCATGGCTGGTTCTACAGACATAGCTGTGTGTGTGTCCTCATGGCTGGTTCTACAGACACATAGCTGTGTGTGTGTCCTCACGGCTGGTTCTAAAGACACGTAGCTCTGTGTGTGTCCTCACGGCTGGTCCTAGAGACACACAGCTGTGTGTGTGTCCTCATGGCTGGTTCTAGACACACATAGCTGTGTGTGTGTTCTCAGGGCTGGTTCTACAGACACATAGTTGTGTGTGTGTGACCTCACGGCTGGTTCTAGAGACACATAGCTGTGTGTCCTCACGGCTGGTTCTAGCGACACATACTGGTGTGTGTGTCCTCATTGCTGGTTCTAGACACACATAGCTGTGTGTTACCTCACGGCTGGTTCTAGAGACACATAGCTGTGTGTGTGTCCTCATGGCTGGTTCTACAGACACATAGCTGTGTGCATACTCACGGTTAGTTCTAGACACACATAGCTGTGTGTGACGTCACAGCTAGTTCTAGAGACACATAGCTGTGTGTGTCCTCACGGCTGGTTCTACAGACACATAGCTGTGTGTGTCCTCACAGCTGGTTCTAGAGACACATATCTGCGTGTGTGTCCTCATGGCTGGTTCTAGACACACATAGCTGTGTGTGTGTGTCCTCACGGCTGGTTCTAGATATATGTAGCTGTCTGCGTCCTCATGGCTGGTTCTGCAGACACATAGGTGTGTATGTCCTCACGGCTTGTTCTAGAGACACATAGCTGTGTGTGTGACCTTACGGCTGGTTCTAGAGACACATAGCTGTGTGTGACCTCACTGCTGATTCTAGAAACACATTGCTGTGTGTGTGACCTCACGGCTGGTTCTACAGACACATAGCTGTGTGTGTGACCTCACGGCTGATTCTACAGACACATAACTGTGTGAATGTCCTCATAGCTGTTTCTAGACACACATAGCTGTGTGTGTGTCATCATGGCTGGTCCTAGAGACACATAGCTGCGTGTGTCCTCACGGCTGGTTCTAGAGACACATAGTTGTGTCTGTGTCCTCATGGCTGTTTCTAGACACATGTAGCTGTGTGTGTGTCCTCACGGCTGATTCTACAGACACATAGCTGTGTGTGTGACCTCACGGCTGGTTCTCGAGGCACATAGCTGTGTCTGTGACCTCACTGCTGATTCTAGAGACACATAGCTGTGTGTGTGACCTTTTGGCTGGTTCTAGCGACACATAGCTGTGTGCGTGACCTCACGGCTGATTCTAGAGACACATAGCGGTGTGAGTGACCTCACGTCTGGTTCTAGAGACACGTAGCTGTGTGTGTGACCTCACGGCTGGTTTTAGATACACATAGCTGTGTGAGTGTGTCCTCGCGGCTGGTTCTACAGAAACATAGCTGTGTGTGTTTCCTCACGGCTGGTTCTAGAAAAGCATACCTGTGTGTGCGTCCTCACAGCTGGTTCTACAGGCACATAGCTCTGTGTGTGTCCGCACGGCTGGTTATAACGACACATTGCTGTGTGTGTGTCCGCACGGCTGGTTCTAGCGACACATTGTTGCGTGTGTGTGTCCTCTTGGCGGGTTCTAGAGACACATAGCCATGTGTATGTCCTCACGGTTGGTTCTACAGACATATAGCTGTGTGTGTGTCCTAATGGCTGATTCAAGACACACATAGATGTGTGTGAACTTACGGCTGGTTCTACAGACATATAGCTGTGTGTGTGTCTTCACGGCTGGTTCTAGAGACATAGCCGTGTGTGTGATCTTATGGCTGGTTCTAGCTACACATAGCTGTGTGCGTGATCTCACGGCTGGTTCTAGAGACACATAGCTGTGTGTGACCTCACTGCTGATTCTACAGACACATAGCTGTGTATGTGTCCTCACGGCTGGGTCAACAGACACATAGCTGTGTGTGACCTCACGGCTGGTTCTAAAGACACATAGCTGTGTGTATGTCCTCATGGCTGGTTGTAGAGACACATAGCTGTGTGTGTGACCTTACGGCAGGTTCTAGAGACACATAGCTGTGTGTGTGTCCTCCCGGCTGGTTCTACTGACACATAGCTGTGTGTGCGTCCTCATTCCTGGTTCTAGAGACACATAGCTGTGTGTGTGTCCTCACGGCTGGTTCTAGAGACACATAGCTGTGTGTGTATCCTCATGGCTGGTTCTACAGACACATAGCTGTATGTATGTCCTTATGGCTGGTTCTAGAGACACATAGGTGTGTGTGTGTGACCTCACGGCTGGTTCTATAGACACATCGCTGTGTGTGTGTACTCACGGCTGGTTATAGTGAAACGTAGCTGTGGGTGTCCTCACGGCTGGTTCTAGCAACACAGCTGTGTGTGTGACCTCACGGCTGGTTATAGATACACATAGCTGTGTGTGTGTGTCCTCGCGGCTGGTTCTACAGAAACATAGCTGTGTGTGTTTCCTCACGGCTGGTTCTAGAAACACATAGCTGTGTGTGGGTCCTCACGGCTGGTTCTACAGACACATAGCTCTGTGTGTGTGTCCTCACGGCTGGTTCTAGCGATACATAGCTGTGTGCGTGTCCTCACGGCTGGTTCTAGAGACACATAGCTGCATGTGTGTGTCCTCACGGCTGGTTCTAGCGACACATACCTGTGTGTGTGTGTCCTCACGGCGGGTTCTAGAGACACATAGCCGTGTGGATGTCCTCACGGCTGGTTCTACAGACACATAGCTCTGTGTGTGGCCTTATGGCTGGTTCTAGACACACATAGCTGTGTGTGACCTCCCGGCTGGTTCTACAGACATATAGCTGTGTGTGTGTCCTCACGGCTGGTTCTAGCGACACATAGCTGTGTGTGACCTCACTGCTGATTCTAGAGACACATAGCTGTGTGAGTGACCTCACGGCTGGTTCTAGAGACACATAGCTGTGTGTGCGTCCTCATGGCTGGTTATAGAGAGACATAGCTGTGTGTGTTTCCTCATGGCTGGTTCTAGAAACACATAGCTGTGTGTGCGTCCTCACGGCTGGTTCTACAGGCACCTAGCTCCGTGTGTGTGTCCTCCCGGCTGGTTCTAGCGACACATAGCTGTGTGTGTGTGTCCTCACGGCTGGTTCTAGAGACACATAGCTGTCTGTGTGTCGTCGCGGCTGGTTCAACAGACACATAGCTGTGTGTGTGTGTCCTCATGGCTGGTTCTAGCGACACATAGCTGTGTGTGTGTCCTCAGGGCTGGTTCTACAGACACATAGCTGCGTGTGTGTGTGTCCTCACGGCTGGTTCTAGAGACACATAGCTGTGTGTTTGTCCTCACGGCTGGTTCTAGAGACACATAGCTGTGTGTGTGACCTTGTGGCTGGTTCTAGCGACACATAGCTGTGTGCGTGACCTCACGGCTGGTTCTAGAGACACGTAGCTGTGTGTGTGTCCTCACGGCTGGTTCTAGAAACATATAACTGCGTGTGTCCTCATGGCTGGTTCTACAGACATATAGCCGTGTGTTTCGATTTAAAGCTTTCGTGATTGCAAGGATTAATCTTCTTTGGTTCTTTCAGTAAAGTCTCGTAGAATGAGAATAAAATAAGAAATTAATTTAGCTATTAATTTATTATTTTATTCTCATTCTACGTGACTTTACCGAAAGAACCAAAGAAGATAGCTGTGTGTGTTTCCTCACGGCTGGTTCTAGAGAGACATAGCTGTGTGTGCGTCCTCATGGCTGGTTCTACAGGCACCTAGCTCCGTGTGTGTGTCCTCCCGGCTGGTTCTAGCGACACATAGCTGTGTGTGTGTGTCCTCACGGCTGGTTCTAGAGACACATAGCTGTCTGTGTGTCGTCGCGGCTGGTTCTACAGACACATAGCTGTGTGTGTGTGTCCTCATGGCTGGTTCTAGCGACACATAGCTGTGTGTGTGTCCTCAGGGCTGGTTCTACAGACACATAGCTGCGTGTGTGTGTGTCCTCACGGCTGGTTCTAGAGACACATAGCTGTGTGTTTGTCCTCACGGCTGGTTCTAGAGACACATAGCTGTGTGTGTGACCTTGTGGCTGGTTCTAGCGACACATAGCTGTGTGCGTGACCTCACGGCTGGTTCTAGAGACACGTAGCTGTGTGTGTGTCCTCACGGCTGGTTCTAGAAACATATAACTGCGTGTGTCCTCATGGCTGGTTCTACAGACAAATAGCCGTGTGTTTCGATTTAAAGCTTTCGGGACTACAAGGATTAATCTTCTTTGGTTCTTTCAGTAAAGTCTCGTAGAATGAGAATAAAATAAGAAATTAATTTAGCTATTAATTTATTATTTTATTCTCATTCTACGTGACTTTACCGAAAGAACCAAAGAAGATAGCTGTGTGTGTTTCCTCACGGCTGGTTCTAGAGAGACATAGCTGTGTGTGCGTCCTCACGGCTGGTTCTACAGACATATAGCTGCGTATGTGTGTCCTCATGGCTGGTTCTAGAGACACATAGCTGTGTGTGCATCCTCATGGCTGGTTCAAGCGACACATAGCTGTGTGTGTGTGTGTGTGTCCTCACGGCGAGTTCTCAAGACACATAGCTGTGTGTATGTCCTAGCGGCTGGTTCTACAGACACATAGCTGTATGTGTGTCCTTATTGCTGGTTCTAGACACACATAGCTGTGTGTGACCTCACGGCTGGTTCTACAGACACATAGCTGTGTGTGTGAACTCACGGCTTATTCTAGAGACACATAGCTGTGTGTGTGACCTCATGGCTGGTTCTAGCGACACATAGCTGTGTATGTGACCTCATGGCTGGTTCTAGCGACACATACCTGTGTGTGTGACCTCACTGCTGATTCTAGAGACACATAGCTCTGTGTTTGACCTCACGGCTGGGTCTACAGACACATAGCTGTGTGTGTGACCTCACGGCTGGTTCTAGCGACACATAGCTGTGTGTGTGTGTGTGTCCTCACGGCTGGTTCTAGAGA